ATCCCCCCCCCCCCCCCCCCGGTGTTTGCCATCGGGGTTGGGTTTTCGTCGCTTGGCAACGACGTTGTAAAACAAGCCGACCCCCCGGTGTTTGCCATCGGGGTTTGGGTTTTCGTCGCTTGGCAACGACGTTGTAAAACAAGCCCCCCACTCGGTGTTTGCCATCGGGATTGGGTTTTCGTCGCTTGGCAACGACGTTGTAATAGAAGCCAATTCACTTCGTGAACTCGGCAACCAAGGTCACCGGGTTTTTTTTTTTACCTCGGTTTTGTTTTTTGGCGGTAACCATAATGGTGGTCGAGTAGATCATGTTGTGCGGGGTCGAGAAACCTCACTCCGCGCAACGGGGGATGATCGCACCACGTTGTGTTAAAATGGTCAAGCTTCCTCGAGGCAGTTACACAGTGCTTACAACTGTCTCTGGAAGTGAAAGCACCAGACAATAAATTAAGTCATACGTAGCTGTCATCCGTACGCAAGGAATTAAGCACAAGATGCCGAACACCCTTAGCAGGATGCAGCTCACCCTTCATGCGACTCGCCAAATACCTCACGGCGCTTCGCGCTTGGTGATGTGAGAGCCTGGTCCGGTGAGAACCCGGCGTGCTCCGTCCCGGCTTTGTAGGGATGCGAGGTCAATGGTCAAACGACTACGGCATGCACTATGAGTACACCCCCCCCTTATGGTGCCCCGAAACGCAATGGTATTTTTGCCACGAAGTCCCCACCCTCTATCACAATACGTCGGTCTGTTTATCCCGCTTGGCCTTCCTCCCCGGAGCCACGTTCCGCTGCCGCTGCCGTGCCCCGAGAGGGACGATGAAAAGGCAATATCAAACTTTTCCATCCGGCCCCCCGAAAAAATCCGTCAAGAAAAGGATTCCGTCCATCCCATAATAAAACGGTACAAAAGGAAAATGATTCTATCAAATAAAAAAACAAGACAATGGTTTCCGTTTATCCCCCCCCCCCGCCCAATGTCCGTGGTACAAAAAGGAGAGGGAAGTGTACATGACTGAGCTGGGAAAAATACAAGGGACGTACAGGGAGATGTTCCAGGCCTGGAATAAAGAGGAGAGGACGGTAGCCCTACTGGGGAGTAGGAAGTGGTTTGAAAAGGCGGGAAGGGATATCCTTAGGATAAACAGACTAAGGAAGGCATTTTTGAGCCCCCTTTGGCCAAGTAAGAAGGAAAAATTGGCGATCGGTGATCGGTCCTGTGGGAACAATGCTCCCTCCCCTCCAGGACCCCTCCTCAATGGTCTAACCGCTAAGGCATGCAAAACATAAGAGTACGCCACCCCCCCCCCCCACTCGGTGTTTGCCATCGGGATTGGGTTTTCGTCGCTTGGCAACGACGTTGTAATAGAAGCCAATTCACTTCGTGAACTCGGCAACCAGGTTACCGGTTTTTTTTTTTACCTCGGTTTTGTTTTTTGGCGGTAACCATAATGGTGGTCGAGTAGATCATGTTGTGCGGGGTCGAGAAACCTCACTCCGCGCAACGGGGGATGATCGCACCTCGTTGTGTTAAAATGGTCAAGCTTCCTCGAGGCAGTTACACAGTGCTTACAACTGTCTCTGGGAAGTGAAAGCACCAGACAATAAATTAAGTCATACGTAGCTGTCATCCGTACGCAAGGAAGTAAGCACAAAGATGCCGAACACCCTTAGCAGGATGCAGCTCACCCTTCATGCGACTCGCCAAATACCTCACGGCGCTTCGCGCTTGGTGATGTGAGAGCCTGGTCCGGTGAGAACCCGGCGTGCTCCGTCCCGGCTTTTGTAGGGATGCGAGGTCAATGGTCAAACGGACTACGGCATGCACTATGAGTACACCCCCCCCCCCCCCCCCCCCCCAAACAAAACAAACGAAAAAACACAACCAAAAAAAAAGGATTTTTGTCACAATCTCAAGAAACAAACAAACAAACAAACGAACGGGTTCCGCACGGCACGACCGACCGCAACAGCCGCTGTACTACGGAGCGCAGCCGGTGGTCTTCAACGTCACCGTGGCCAACGGAATGGGCGTCACCGGCCACATCACGAGCTTGTCGTGGGCGGAGGAGCGCACCTCCCAGAGGGCAGCAGGGAGGGACGGGGACGTGTTGGACGTGAAGGCGGAGTTTTCGGACGTGCTCTGGCCGTGGTCTGGGTGAGGACGTGCGGAAAGATCCATGCATTTTCTGCGGCGGCATGCGCTCGATTTGCCGTTGTTTGTTTTTTTGGCTGTTATGTGCGTGGTTTGTTTGGTTGTTGCGATCGATTCGTTCGGTCGATTGTTTTTGTTTGTTTGGTTTTCTGAACTTGTGTATCGATGTACATCTTCCGCGACATGCGTTCCATACGGGCTGCGGTTGTTTGTTTGTGTGTACGTAGGTCTGTCTGTCTGTCTGTCTGTCTGTCTGTCCGTTGTTTGTTTTTTTGTTTTGTGTTTGTTGTTTCTGTCGTGTTTAACATTTATGACGGAGAACGCTGCATCGGTTGCTTCTTCCAGCAGTTGTGTCGCTAACTTGTCATGCGAGTGCTTTCATAATTGTTGCCATTGGGTCGACGTGTCGGCCGGTTCGGCTGGATATAGTCCGCGAGACAACCCGAGGTGGCGGGCATGCACAATCCGCGTGATACAGGCGGCGGCTGCTGCCGTCACGCATTGCTCTCGCTGACGTAATGTTCCTCCTCGCCTTAGCGTCGGCTGCGTGTTTCGTCTGCTGCGACGTTTGCGTGTGCGTTGGGGCGTGGCCCAGCTTCCTCGCCCTCTCCCTGACCGTGTCAGAGTCCGGCCGGGACTTCCAGGGCCTCGTGCTCGGCAAGCTAGAGGTGCGCGAAAACAGGTCGTCCTCACTTGCCTCTCCGGTTGTTTTCTGTTGTGATAGGCTTGTGCACCTCGGTCTGACGGTTTCATGGCTTCGTGTCTCTATACAATATGTCATCCAAGAGGCGGTTTGCTTCTCCCTAATCTGACGATTTCGTGGTTTCCTGGCCCCATTCCATACCCAAGAGGTGTGTGTTGACGGGTCGTTGTCCCTACTCTGACGGTTTTACCGTTTCGTGCCCCCACGCCTGATCCGGACCGCCTTCTTCGCGAGAAAACTTTCATGTGCATGAGGGAATAAGAACAGAACAGGGACGGGGTACGCAGACCTCAATCGTCCCTAACCCTAACCCCGACCCCAACATCCCCGATTGCGTGCTATATCCAACATGTTTTCTTAATAGAAAAAAATCGCGAAGGCTACTTGCCCGATCCACGAGGTGTAATTACGTTGACGGTTGTGTTTTGTCCCTGCGGTTTCTTTTTACCTCGGCTATTACCTTACCTTTCCAGCTCGATCCGTCCGGCGTGTCGATTGCTATCCCACAGCAGTAGTTTCAGTGCCGCCCAGGCAAGCTTCCCGTAGCTTTGCAGCCCGACTACATTGTCAACTCCCGATGGCTCGTCCATAGCTCGTGTTGTTCGTTACCGCTGCCGAGTCATCACATCTCAAGGGCAGCTTGGTGTGCAGCAGCGAAACATGCCGAACCCCATGTCACGACGCTAAACACACGCTGCTGTGTTTTCACGCAGGAATCACTCACAGTCCGCATTGTCTGTTCGTTACCGCTACGGATCTATCGAACGGCAGCGAAAGAAGACGAACCCCACATGTCACGACGCTATAGTACCACGCGACGTTGCTGTGTTTCCACGCTGGGATGGATGGATCTCTCTGATTCCGGCCACAGGTGACGGTGGAGTCCGAGGCGGGGCCTGGCGAGACGCAACCCCGTACCACGAACGCCGTCCTGCCGGTAACGGTTAGCGTTATCCGCACGCCGCCCAGGCACCGCAGGCTGCTCTGGGACCAGTTCCACAGCGTCCCTTACCCTCCGGCCTACTTTCCGAGGGACTACCTAGGTGTGCCTCTTTAACCCCGGCGTTTGGTTTTGTTCTGCGTGAGTGTTCGGCGGCCGTTTCTTTTTCTGTACGTAGATGTATGAGAATACGGCAGGATTTCGGCAATAATGTTTGTTTTTGCTCTGGCCGTCGACTGGTCCCCGTTTGTGTGTCTCTCTTCCACCAGGCGACGATGCCGACATGCTGGACCGGCTGGGAGACCACCCCCACACCAACTTCCGGACCCTGTTCGAAGCCCTGTTAGACGCGGGCTACTACGTGGAGATCCTTGGATCCGACTGGTAAAGAAACGCGTTCTTCAGGCATCTGAAACGATGTTGTTCTTATTTCGTTAGGTTTTCCCCAACACCACAAGACGCAGTTTCAGCTGCAGCGGGACTGTTTACTGAACCTTTTGGACGTGTCTTCCCCAAAGCCACAAAACGTATTAACAGCTGCAGCGGGACTGTTTACTGAACCTTTTGGACGTGTTTTCCCCCAAACCCCAAAACGTAATAACAGCTACAGCACTGCTTACTGAATACACACATATTGCAGGTCCTGCTTCGATGCTGAGAGCTACGGAGCGCTGCTTGTGGTGGATCCAGAGGCCGAGCTGGGGCAAGACGAAAAGGCCAAGCTCGAGATGGACGTGAACCAGAGAGGCCTGTCGGTGGTGGTGTTTGCCGATTGGTACAGCACGGATGTGATGTCCAAGGTATCGTATTCACACTTTTAGTCCCAAGAGAAAGACACAGAAAAATGGGGTGAAGGGAGGAGAGAGTGGCAAAAAATGACACTCGCAAGATGGGTCTGATTTTGGTGATGTCTGCTATTGTGCTATTGTGCTATTGTGGTGTTGACGTGACCGTGTTTTTTGTCGTTGGTGTTGCCTGAGGTTGGATGTTACCTTTGCCAACGTTCGGCCGAAGAGTTGCTACAATTACTCGTCGATCCTTTGACGGTTGTTGTTGTTGTTATGCTTGTTAATCGCTGTCTACAGCAGCATAGTAGTAATACTAATATTTGTAGTAGTAGTAGTAGTAGTAGTAGTAGTAGTAGAGTAGTAGAATCCTCTGCTGCTTTCTTTGCGTATCCGTAGAACCCGTTGTACGCTAAATCCGTGTAGGTCACAGCAGTTTGTTGTGTACTGGGTCACAACAGCAGTTCGCGTTTCATGATGGGTCACACACCACCCACGTAGTTTTCTTGGTCCACCACACGTGTCGGGGGGCGAGTAAACCGCCAGTTGGTGGTTTGCTTGGTCCACCGCACGCGTGGTGTGCTTGGTCAACCACTTGGTTGTTTGCTTACTTACAAGCAAAGTCGTAGTTTGCTTGGCCCTGAATACATTTACTTGTTTTTATAATGTTTGGCCAAGGTCCGCTTGCCCTATCCCCTGTGCCTCGTGTTATGCATGTCATCCATCCAATTTGAACTATTTAGGCCTAACCCCTTTTGCCTCGTACAATGCATGCTTACGATCCATCCAATTTGAACTGTTTGGCCAAGGTCCGCTTTGTGGACGACAATACGCGCATGCCGTGGGAACCGGTGACGGGCGGTTCGAACGTTCCGGCGATCAACGACTTCCTTCTTCCCGCCTTCGGGATGGCGCTGGGCGGGACTGTATTTGACGGGGTGGTTAGCCTGCCTGGAGGAGAGGTAGGCATATTGTTTTTTTCTTGGGGGAATTGCTGTTTCCTTCTTGTGGATGGATGGGCTGGGCGCCATTTGGGTGCCAGCTGCGATTTGTTGTTCTTTTGATGTATTCGCGGGAGATGTGTTGCCTCTTTGCGCCGAACGTGTTTTGTTGTTTCAATTTCTTGCATCTGGCGGGTATGTGCTTTTCATTGCATTTTACGTTCGGCGTGGTACTGGACTGGACCGTTATGAGATACAGGCAGTGTTCCTTTTCTTGCACACGTTTTTTTTGGATATTTATTTATTTATTTTGGAAAGTCATTTTTGGTAGAGCTTCGTTTAGGGCGTACTCGGGCGTTATTTTAACGCTACAGATCTCGAACAAGGGTGTCCGGGGTAGGATTTTGTTTCCGAAACAGCAACGTCCGCAACTATTTTCTTTCAACAACACCTGCCTGGCCACGTCGCAAGCTACGTGGTGGACGCAACAAGCCCATGATGTGTACTTCTTGTGTTTCGGTCTCCTCGGTGTGGCGAATCACCATGATGCAAACAAGAAGTACTAGGTAATTTGTTGCTGTTCGTTGGCGAGGTTTCCCTGCCTTCCGGACAAAGGCGCCCGTTTAAGCAACACATGCCAATATCCCGCCCCCCCCAGCACCGCCCGCCCCTGGTGTTTGCCATCGGGGTTGGGTTTTCGTCGCTTGGCAACGACGTTGTAAAACAAGCCCCCCCCCCGGTTTCGTCGCTTGGCAACGACGTTGTAAAACAAGCCCCCCACTCGGTGTTTGCCATCGGGATTGGGTTTTCGTCGCTTGGCCACGACGTTGTAAAACAAGCCAATTCACTTCGTGAACTCGACAACCAGGTTACCGTTTTTTTTTTTTACCTCGTTTTTTTTTTTGGCGGTAACCATAATGGTGGTCGAGTAGATCATGTTGTGCGGGGTCGAGAACCCTCACTCCGCGCAACGGGGGATGATCGCACCACGTTGTGTTAAAATGGTCAAGCTTCCTCGAGGCAGTTACACAGTGCTTACAACTGTCTCTGGAAGTGAAAGCACCAGACAATAAATTAAGTCATACGTAGCTGTCATCCGTACGCAAGGAAGTAAGCACAAGATGCCGAACACCCTTAGCAGGATGCAGCTCACCCTTCATGCGACTCGCCAAATACCTCACGGCGCTTCGCGCTTGGTGATGTGAGAGCCTGGTCCGGTGAGAACCCGGCGTGCTCCGTCCCGGCTTTGTAGGGATGCGAGGTCAATGGTCAAACGACTACGGCATGCACGACTATGAGTACACCCCCCCCCCCAGCACCTAAACAGTCCGTATGTTGGTTGTTGCTTCACCCACCTGACTTCCCCTGTACCTGACCTCAAGCACTAACAGTTATCCGTGTTTTTATTTTTTTTTGTTCGGTCCTTGGTGCCTTACCTCCCCTGTAGCTGACCCCAACCAGATTCTATAAACACATTTTTCTTTTGGTTTCGTTGTTCGGAATCAGCTGCATCTGGCATCCGGGAACGCGGTTTCAAGAATGCCCCCCGGCAGCCTTTTGGTTTCAGCCTCGTCCTTAAGAGGCATTGCGTTGCGAGGGGGAGGTGGATATTTATCCCCGGGGGTGCTTCACATGGACGTGCCGGTCATTGGCGCCTTCGACACAAAGAGGTTGGTGAAATCATGAGTAACTTCGCGGGTTTTTTCGTGTTACGTAAACATGTCGATAAAACATGCTATCCGGGAAGTTGGGGTTAGGGCTAGGGAATAGGGTCTGCATCCCTCCTACCAGTTCTATTTCCTCAATAACTTGTTAATTGCGCGAAGGCGGCCCGAAATTATTCGGTCGAACTGCTCCTACAACGTCCTTGGTGTCACGTGCTTTCGGAACAATGATCTTGGGCGCCCTAGGAATCGCTTGTTGTCTTGGCGCCCTCGGTTCCAATTTCTTTCGAGAACGGTCTTGGCGCCTTCGGTGTCGTTTGCTTCAATTAAGTTGGTCGCGGTCGTCGTGGATGGTTGATACTCCGAATGTTGCTGTTGCTGTTGCTGTTGCTGCTGCTGTTATTGTTGTTGTTGCTGTTGTCTTCACACAGTGGAACCCGTTCCAATCTCCGCTCAGTAACCTGCTCCTGAAAATAGTGACCAGCATAGTTTGTGGTGCGGTTTGTCGGCCGAAGGCATCTCTCCCGTTCTACGTGGAAATTTTGACGTTGTTTGCACCGATCAGCGGGGGGCAATTTCACCAGGTTCAAACCCAATGTCCTACACCCGATTGACGGCTATACTTGAGTGTCCCACCGTTTACGATAGTTCTGTGGAAGATTGACATTCAAGAAAATATCCCGCCGTGTGTGTGGATAGTATCGTTCAGCCTTGTTGAGGACCAGAAATAATTGTGGTACTGCTGTCGTCTATAGTGATGATGACTGACCAGCGCATCTTGTTTGTTTTTCAACATTATGTATCATGCTGTTGTTACCGACACCACCAAGTCACACCATTTCCAAGGCCGTTTCAACACTGGCCGTGGCTCCTCTGAATGTCAACCTTAGCCGACGCACAGGTGGGACGGCATCGCAATACTTTTGCAGAAAACGCGCGATCTCCACACGCGCTGACGTATGATGATTCCCGCGCGTGCGATTGTTCGTTCCGTCCAGTGGCGACAGTCCAGAAGGCTCGAGAGGCAGGGTGTTCCTCTTCGGGGACTCGAGTTGTGCCGACGATGCCGCGTTGAGCAGGGTGGGGGGCTCCGGCAGCGGCCATGCCAACGGCGGTCTAGGAGGCGGCAGCGACTGCCTGTGGCTCTTCGAGTCGGCGGTTCGATACGCTTGCGAGGTGCGCGATGTACCTATCTATTGATCTATTTGCCGTTCAACAAGGTTTGCGTATGGGAATGGTTATTTTCAGTGTTGCTGGACAAAACTTTGGATCCAATTCTGTTGTTGTTCGATACGCTTGCGAGGTGCGCGATGTACCTATCTATAGATCTATTTGCCGTTCAACAAGGTTTGCGTATGGGAATGGTTATATTGAGTGTTGCTGGACGAAACTTTGGATCAAATTCTGTTATTGTTCGATGCGCTTGCGCGCTGCCTGTGCATGGATCTATGTGCCGTTCAACAAGGTTTGCGTATGGGAATGGCTTTTTCAGTGTTTCTGGACAAAACTTTGGATCCAATTCTGTCATTTTCCTTTCGTTATCAAACCTTTCTCGGGTATCGGATAATATTGGTACACTGATAGTTTCCAAGTAAACATTAAGAAGCAAATATAGTATTTTGCGGCATGGTGGTTCTGTTCACCTTGTAGCGGAATATTTTCGGCTTTTTGTGACGATGAGGGTCATTCCCAACGTAGGTGACGCAACATATCACCCCCCCCCTGGACCCAGGGAGTCCAAGTAGGGTGAAAGAGTGTGTCCGGACTGATGTTTGCAGATGATTTTGAGGAGGTATCCGAAACTCCAGAAGGGTTGCAAGAACAAATAGATGCGGCGGTAGGATACACCCGAAAATGGAGACTGTCGGCGAACGTAGGAAAATGCGCAGTAGTGGTCTGTAACGAAGACAAGAAAAATCCCGTAGAATTCACATGGAAATGAGGGGAGGAAGAACTACCGGTAGTAGACAAGTATACGTACCTGGGAGTAGAGATTTCGAAGGAGTGCTCATGGGACGCACACATAGCGAAGTTGATTGGGAAGGGTAAAGCTCAGATAGGCAAGATGGACGAGATCCTTACGGACCCACACCTAGACACTAGGATTAAGAGGTGTATTCTCTTGAATGTGATTGTACCTAAGCTAGAGTATGCAGGAGAGGTATGGGAAGGTAACGAA